TATTTATAATTTTATTGTCAACATCCAGTAAATTTGCTCACTTTCGTAATTTTTCCTTCGTTTCAAAATACATGAATCGACCCCTAGAGATTGAACACGAGTCGTTTTGTATGCAGGGTCGCTTGTTTTAGCAAAATCATGAGAGAGAGGACGTACATTTATTATTTGTTTTTCTGTTTGTTCTAACTTTTTCTTATCTTTTTCTTTCTCTCTTAGGAATTGTTAAAATATAACGGACCAATCAAAAGTGGCTGCGTCTTTCGTATCTTGACTCTGATTAAAGAATCTCTATCAATATTTAATGCCAAAATAATATTTTCTTTATCGAATAATAAAGCAGCTAATGCTGATAAATTAATAATACTCTAATTTTAAGCTGTTATCATAAATTATTTGTAAGACCCTCATGAACTTTAAGAGGAACGCGCGGTTTGCCCATCGAAATTATTTCTATAGAAACCTAATCGAACATAATGGAAGTAACTGAAACAGTAATCGTAATCCGCAAATGTAATTTGAAATGGGAAAATACATATCGCGTGATGTCGATGAAAGATGACGATCATCGATTCGACGAATAGCACGAACATATGGCATGTGTGTATAATAACATCGATGAAAGCAGAAATGAGCTGAAATGGTGCGTGCGTAAGTCCAATAGAAACGTCCATCTTAGCCACGACTTGGCCGGAATGACTGTTACAACCACGTGGCCATTTGCCGTCTATGCGATTATAAGAAGCGGCCACAAAGTTGCGTACGCGCTTCATTTACGTTTCATCGTAAAACGACGGACGAGGTCGAGACTTACATTTCCGAAGTATCGACTTTTACCCTGGAAACAGACCGCGTTTATTATTACTTAAAGTTATATGAGTCTATAGACGTTTCTCTCACCCTCTTCAAACTATTTTAAATATTCAAGGTATTTTAAGATATATGTTGAAGAGGTATCGCGATATTGCGGTAGATAGTGCGCGAATATTATCGCGATATCGTATGCTATTAATGATTTTTTGCACCTTCTTTAGTGAGGCGAAAAACCGTACTGATGGCAGTCCACGCTATTGACAATAAAAATTTAAATCCTCTTTAGAATAATATAAACACTGTCTTATTTTGCTATTCTTTAAATAAAATTCTTAATTTACAAGTATAATTTCTGTTATAACAATAAATTGAAAATAAAAGTCAATCCATTAATTAGAAAATAAACTTAGAATTCGAGACACTATAGTTTCTTTCTGGACACCACGTCTATTTTTATTTGTAGAATAAATAAAAGTAGCTGACGAAGATGACCTATTATACGAAATTTAAACAGAAAGCATTAAAACATTTTTGATAATATATATGATATATTGAAAGAGAGCAAGAAAAATTTTTAACTTTATAACATAATTATTAATTATGTTATGCTAGTAATATGTTCACTTTTCTGTTATTTTTCTAATACTGTCAACAGTATTATGAATATTAATTATAAAAGGAATGACTGGGTGAATAGCGGATATAATCATTTAATTCCATATCTGTTACCTCTCTGTCGCAATCACTCGTCAACAGTCGGATTCTAAGATTTCTAATATTCTCGAAACTGTGAGAACTTTTTTCATTTTTTTCAAGCGCAGGTTTCCCTAACAATATCTAATATAATATCCTCGTAAAATTTTTTATCTTGTAATCTTTGTTGTCTGTCATATTAAAAAAAGAAAAAGAAAAGTATTTCTGAACCTTTCCTCGAAAGCAGTAAAAGATACTTACTTCTATTTAAATAATCCTTCACATACCAATCCTTGTCACGTTTTCATATTTTCATACTAAGTAATTCTAGATGCCTTCGTTTAAAAAATCGTACTAGTCACTGTTTTCGATATTGGACACGCGTCGTGTTATTGGTTTTTATTATTTAAACAAAGGTCTTCCTTTCCGAAACGAAATCTTTGAATTCAATTCCTCAGTTCTCGTCACTAACTCGTAGCAATGTTCCGATTCAGCATACTACTGTAACATTTATTGCTAATTGTATATTATTTAAACAAAAATAAAATAAAAATAAAATAAAAATTAAATAACTTAATCGAGAGGACAGTTTTTCTGCTTATTCCACTTAAAATATGATGTCGCGTTTCGTTATACAAGATATAAAATTATTTAGAAATTTTGAAAATTTCTGAAATTTACATAAAAATTTTAAAAAACTTGAAAAATTCTGAGAAAAATGTTCACAAAGAGACATCGAACATTCTTCCTCGTTAAGAGGTACATAATTTATAAGTACATTTAGAAATGTTTAATGGTAGGCGTTACAGTCCTCTCTATATGCAGAGTTACTACACAAAAGTGTGATATGGTGTTTCATAAATAATTAACGATCTAGATAAAGGCGTATGTGGGTGAAATCAATCTCCTTATTGCAGAATGTTACTAATAATCGGTCTCGTACGCGGAGTCGCGTCGGTATTCGCAAATATTGACAAATCATCACAACCAAGTTTTTTCACGAATGAACTGCTATAATATAGATTAGAAATCGATCGGTTTTGATAGAAATTGCGGAATCCCTTTGCGAATACTCCATCGGAGTCGAAGCGCGCTTCGCGCCCGCGATCGACTTCGTTATCGTGAGCGCATTAATGTCGTGGTATTGTCTTTGTGTGTCTTTAATACTTTAATACAGAATTGTAAGTCCAGGGTTCGTCCTCGGCGAAGGTTGAGTCGAATCTTAAATAAAGTATGAACGCTCTGCGAAATATCCATATGTTATAGCTATCGGACAAGAGGTACGCACAATCGTGGGTCACGTCGCATGAGGGTCTTTTACCTTTCATTATCTGTGTTTCGGTTCAAGGCTGAGTCTATACATTACCTCTACCATTGTGCCTATATCACTTCTCGTTTAAAAACAAAATTCGAAGCGTACATACATTTTATCAAAGTAAGGCAAGTGTCTTGCTTAAAGATGTATATAGTACGTGTTTTTTAATAAAATGAAAAAATTTGGTTTTTCTATATTATATTTGAAAGTAATATAAAAAGTGTGTTTGGTAATTAAGAACCTGAATAAAAAATTATTTCAATAAGAAATAGATGTTTTTAAAAAATAATTAAGATAAAATAAGAAAATTTTCATTTAAATCATAAAATTGTATTAAGTTTAAATTTTGGCTTTATTGTATAACTTTAATTTTTATCTGATATAATATACCTGATACCGAGTATTCTTAATAAACATAAGGAGGTCAGTTTTTTAATTTAAAAATCTACTTTGGCAGTTTATATGAAATGAGAATATCAAACTGGTAGAACACATAATATTTACACGTATTTAAAAGAAAGAATTGAATTATAAGCAATTGAGATAAATAAAATAAGATTGATGATAATTGAGACTTTATGTAAGTGGCTAATTCTGACTGGAAATGATTATCTTAAGGGGGTATTCAAGTGTGATTACTCGTTTTTAAAGTGAATTTTGGGAATTAAATTTATAAAAACGGTTAAACCTACAGAGCTAATGTTTTTCATTCACATTTGTTCACATTTGACGTAACTCCTCAAATTTTTGCGAAGTTTTTTATTATATATTATACAAGATATGAATAGACGCGCAGGTCATGTCGCGAAAAATCGTTTTTATCGGGCGCAGTAACAGCCGCCATCCTCGTCGTCTGAAAATTTTTTTTTTAACAATAAGAATCCTAAGGCTTAGGATTCTTCTTTTTTTTGTTTTATTCTTTATGATTGTCGTTATATCGTTCGGCCTATTAATAAATCATAGGAAGAAGTTGAAAATGGTAGGTCTTAAAAAAAACCCTGCTGAAAAAAAATGTCGCTGAAATTATTCTATGTTTTTGAAGATTTCAGCGAAATTGCTGAAAATTTGCTGAAATTTCATTGAAAGTGAATTTTTCAGCTTAAAATCGCTGAAATTAAACTGAATTTTTTCTAAAATGCTGAAATTTTGCTGAAGTGTTCCAAAACGTGAAATAATTTCAGCGAAATTTTTCCACCAGGAAATATTTCGATTTTTACTAAAAAATGTTTTACTTCTTGCGACCTGGAAAAATAGTAATTTTAGAGATATCGAAAAGTTGGAATGATAGCCTAATATGTACACTTATTATATACGTTTGCAAAAGCGCAAGTCGATCGCCTCAGTAATTTGCGAAAAAAATATGCGTTCAATTTGAAAAACGTTTAAAAAAAAACGCGTTTAAAGTTTTTCATGCATTTACGAGGTAGATAATAAGTAATTTCAATATCTCCTTAATTAGCTATACACATTTTCAAGGTTCCAAACTACAAGAATATGAAAAAAGTTTCGATTTTTTTGACTCGACACATTAGAATACCCTCTTGGCCCTTTAAAAATTGAAAACCGTTTAGGTTTCAAATATATGTAGTTTTTGAGAATAAATTCCATAAGATTAATAAGTAAACCAAGAAATTGTCTAAATTATAAAATCGATAAGTAGATATATATCAACGTTATTAACGATTTCCAATACATGACATAATGCCCTTGTAACTACAAAAGGCTTCATTAAATAACCTTACAGTACTGGCCTAATCTTATAATTCTCTTAAGCACGGAAACACAAGGTCTCAGATTTTAGCGCTTGTTTGTGTAAACTAAAGTCAGATGGAAACGATAATTTCTAACGAAATATTATCTACAAAATAGATTATTCGATATCTATCTCCTTGCAGTTTACCGGTAGATTATAGAATACGTTGAGGCGAATTAGTTTTTGTGTAATTCCATCTATTTAAAAATCGAAATAAAAAAGTAGGAGAAATACGTGAAACGACGGAATGAATTCCTTTTCTGCAAAGGAGTTAATCGAACGAATGACTGAGAAATTATGGGACTAGCGGAGACCTCGACGCGACGGACGCACGCGAGGAGAGGCCAGTACATGCCAGTACAGTACACGCTTACACGCTTCTCGCTTCACGCACACAGGAGGTAAGCTCTCACACATACATCGATATCGCGCACCATCCACCATCGCGCACAGCGGCGTCGACGCGTGCACGTCGTGCACCAGTCGCGCACGACGACGCGCATCGACGAGGCGCGTCGACCGCATGACGGCGCCACGAGAAACGGCGTCGCGACGCTGTCGTCAGGCGGCGCCGGTCGCGAGGAAACGTGTACAGGGTGTACGGTGCGGTGCGAAACGAGCGGATGGTGGGTAACCGAACGAGAAAGCAGCAGCGCCTCCGTCGCGTCGGTATCCCCTAGGTCGACCTTTCGGTTGCCGCGCGTTTCACTCTCGACCGCTCCTAGAAACTCCGGAGACGAAGTTGAGTGCGAGTGCGAGCGCGCACACGCGCTCTTTTCGCGACTCTCGCTCCTACCCCGTCCTACCGTCACCTCCTCTCTCTCCTTCTTCCCGTTTCTCTTTCTGTCATTCGTATCTTTTCGCCTACTCCTCTGTCGCTTTCCTCGTCGGCACGCTCTCCCGGAGACAGTCTCGTACGTAGTCCTTGTCGCTCGTTCATCTGGCTACACCCAGTTTTCGTCGCTCGAATTGGGTTCCCCCCAGTGAGGACTCTGATGCGAGAATCCTAGCCTAAACAATCCGGCCTACTATCGGGGAGTACCCGGCGAGTGGAGACGCTTGCGCGGATACACGCGTGTTCACGCGATGCGTCGGTGCCCGTGTGTGTACGTGTGTGCGTGTCACCGTGCCGGTGCAAGACGATCTATCTTCCTCTCGCGTCATTGTTATTATCGGTTTATCGTTCTAACCACCCTGCTAGCGACTAATTGAGCTCGGCGACGAGACCGTTTCTTGCATGGCTGCCGTCTCGCACGTCGGCGATCCTGTCAACACCCGTCATCATCGAGGAGACACTTTGAAGCCGGCAGCAACAGTAATAAGGAGGTACGACGTCGCCAAGTTACCTCGTTATAAGCAATGACGGTTTCAATCCAGTAAAAGAGAGTAAGTATGCGATCGAATTTTTGCGCGAGTGTACATGTGTCTACCTAGATTCATCCTTGATTGAGGTCGCAGCCCTCCGTTGGGAATTAATTCTTCTTCAGCGATGAAATACTCCTTGTTAGGGATATATCCTTTCAACATTTCGTGTCCGATATATATCTTCGCTCACGTGCGAGATGACGTACGTGTGTCAGTTCGTATAAGCACAAGCGCTAGTTGATTGCATGCATCACGGTCAATCCTTTTGAATCCTGTGAGAGAAGTGTATATGTGTTAAATAAATTAACTCTTTATTTTTAGCTTCTTCATTATAGTCGTTCAATGTGATCAAAACTTGTTTCACTGACAATATTATTCTTTGTAGGTATATAATTGGACAGCTCTTAGAATGGTTTAGCATCTTTGTGTCTCACAATTGAGGGATGAATTATATGAATAATCTTTGTACAAAGAAAAATACGTGACCGCATTATATAATCCAATAGCAATTTACAACATGGTAAAACATTAATTTATTTAAAAAGGTTCAATTATTAGATTCAATATTAAACTCTAACAGGATTATATTTATTTATTACGAATTCTATTTATGAAAATATTTTCTGATAACCACGCAGGATTTATATTTCAGTTATATAATTAATTTATGTTATTAATAAAATTAAATCAATAATTAATACCATTCTCCGCGAACACTTTTCAAGTGGTGCTACTAGCGCACAAATCCATCGATATTTACACATTAAATTGTTCCTCAATTCTTTTTTATTAAAATTCCGATCCTGTCATTGAATGCGTGAATAGAATACGTTATTCAAATGCGCATTGCATCTACGTACGGCGATGTCCTCAGATCAAGCGAGTCATATACATATACAATGAATCACAAGAATATTCATACTCTGCTAATTATATCTTTAAAAAGTTGATGATATTTTCGAAGAGAATCTTTACCGATAAGAACGTGCAGATCTATATCAATTTTATGTTTTCAAACAATATTTTAAAACAGTAATTTGTGACAAAAATAAAAAAATTACACAATATTGGAATACTGATACCACAAAAGTATTCATGACTCTTTGTAATTGGATACATTTATTAAACATAATTATAAATTTCGTTAAATCGTCTTTAGATTTAATAATATTTTTTTAGACTATTTCGACATACTATATAATATTTATATATTATGCCCTGTTTATACTCTCTAAAGTGATATCTATACTGTTATAAAGCTCTTATTTCTATTTTTCGAATTTTATTAAGATATATATTATTTGAAATCTTAATTAGTATTACACATAACAATTTTGTCTTCTACGATGACATCAATTGCTTGAAGTCACAAGTCAAGCAGCTAGATGGAATGAGACAGGCTGGATGGGAGTACAAACACTGTTGTGACTCATTGTGTATGCGTATATGAATGCATGCACTTACCCATCGCGGGAGAATGCTCGCAAAGGCGTGAAGGCGTGTATACACGTGTATGCACGCGCGCGCGCGCGCACTCATTTGAATCCTAACAAGATGAGAACGTACTATTCCTCCTGCTCGAGTCCTGTGTGTATATTATCAGCCATCACGTGGCGGTGCTTCGAACGTCTCCCTGCAAGTGGTGTGGGAGTAAATGCATACGAACCTTTGAACTGTAAAGAAAAAGATATGTATGTACGTATCATATAACATATAATATGATGGAGATTATGACTTGCGCGCTCAAACGAGATCTCTTCACCGTGGTCTCTTCTTCATTCCCTTTAATCTCATTTTCTTCACGTGAATCGGTAACGTAGGATCTGTTGCGTCTATGGCGTTTACAGTCCTTCCTTGTATTCGATAAACCTCACATTAGCTAAATTATTGGCCGCTAATTATATGAAATACATACTATTGTATAGAAGAGCTATATAAAAGTTGGATTTAATAGTTTCTTTTTTCTTCGAAGATTGCCATTTTTTTATGCGTATGAAAGAAAATATGCATATGTAAAATAATTTTTTTCATTATCAAGACATGTTAGAGGAGAGTCATTAGCGTTCAGTATCGAACAAGTTTTACATGTTGTTATTGAGGGAAACGTGTAACAAACGTGGCATTAAAAGAAAAAGAATGTAAAGATTTTCTAATTTAATAACACGCGTGTCGCCGCAAATCGACACACGTTCCATCCAAGGCAACCGCGATAAGCTAAGTGTCAAAAGCGAGCCGCAAAGCCGGAAAGCGTCTATGTGGCGCGAGGATGTGAATTTCGCGTGCGAATGATGACGTACATGATTACGCCCGTAGTAGCGTAGAAATTGATCGGTTACGTTGTTATGCGAGAGCCTTTAACCCTTCGCCTTCGGTTTAATTACCGGCACGCGATGTCTCACTGGACGATGGTGTGTTAAAAAGCCAGCCTATTTCGAAAATCAATTCGAGCGGCAATTTGCACCTGCGGGTGACGATGCTCGACTTTCTGAGGGCTTCGAATTCTTCGAGCAGGGACTTGCAATAAGAAATCTTTCCTTTTCTTGCGCTACAATATCGTCTTTTCTTTCATTCATTTGATCGTCACCGAATGATTTTGCTCCATTATTCTATACACCTGCAAAAATATATGTATATAAAAACATGTATATAATACTTTTTACTGAATACATTTCCTGTGAACTGCATATTTTTTACTGACTCCAAGTCAATTTTCCTTTAGCGAAAACACTGGAGATCATCATTTATTTCATAATTATTGTATAGTTTTCAAATTTTCAATATTACATATTTTTGTAACAATTTTTTAGATTAAAAATTCTTTCTACTGAAATAAAATCTACTTAAAATAAATTGAAAAAGTTTTATTATATATTTTCATTAGTTAACTTAAAAAATACGGGTATTTCAAGATCTTTGTTCAAAGAAACCGTTTCAAAATTTGTTAAAGAATCTGTGTTTTAAGGAAAGTATTTAGTAATAATTATATATAAAAGATAGTATATATACGTGTATCTATAAAATTAAAATGATCAATTCGGAATTTCTGAATTTTTCGCGTTACAATTAGAAACTTCATGAATACGTGAGCATCATTAAGCGTAGTTATAAATATTCTTGCGCTCTCATATAAATGCATTGACATTTACAAATAGATATTTTTTAGTCTCACGCTCGAGGATTGCTAATGCAAACATACAAAAATACGTGCGAGCATTTTAATGTAGCGTAGGAGGCTCGCGAATGTCGTTATGGATGTCGCGTGAATCCGAGAACACTCACGCGATACTCGCGGAGGTATGAAGACATAATGTTCCATGGTTCCGTGTAAGTGCGGAATTAACCTACTTTATATCGCGTAGTGACTAATTTGAAATTGAATAGAATTTCGTGTATTTCGGCATGCGACTTGTTTCATTCATTACGATATTACATGGCGCAATTATGATATGTAAATGACTGATAATCACATACAAAATGCATGTACGTAGTCATGTATATTTGACGGTAATTGCATACGAATGATGTATAAACGGATAATATCAATTTAGATAATATCAGTTGTGTCGACGTTGCGTGGACATATATGTGTAAAGTACTCCTCGCTAATGTCCATTTCCACCAATGTAGATTAACTTTAATCTAGATCCACCTATTTTTCATCTTTTTTTGAATTCTTAGAACGAGATTAAAGTTAATCTACGCTGGTGTCGCTGGTGGAATCGGGCATAAGCGCGAGATCTCTTCGCTGCTTCTTTTAAACCACGGATTCTTGATTCTTTGATCAATTTCGAGTTGATTGCCCTTTGAGGGAACTTCGAGGCTTTTTCCATGATTTTCGAAGATTTCCTGAAAAAAGTAATCGAGATATCAGATCTCTGTACAAATTCAAATAGTGCTCGATTATCATGATAAGTCGAGATGATGTCATCTTGACTGAGACTACTATATGTACCCTACTGAAAAAAATCATGTCACAAAGTTACATAACGAAATCACGTAATTAAAATCAGGGAACGAATTGTTCTAAATCAGTACATGATCTTTTAAAATCGCATAATTTGAAAAATTACACGATGATTTGTTTTTTTCTTCTATTTCTATCATTTAATTATTTAAAACTTGATAACAATAAAGTCATATGATAGATGAAATTATTTCTAATATTATGAGATTTTTTCAAATTACGTGATTTAAAAAATTACGTACTGATTTGGAACAATCCGTTATGTGATTTACTTATTTTAATTACATGATTTCGTTATATAACTTTGTGACATGATTTTTTTCAGTAGGGTACATATAATGGAATGTTTCATTTAATTACAGGTATTTGCCGCAACGTTCGATATCTGAAAAATACGAAAGATCTGAACTAGTGAAGATCTACATGGATGAACGATTCTAAACTCTCAGGATATGCGCGGACTGACAATTAATTTCATCGCACGAATTGGAGTGAATAATTCATGCAACGGGGAGAGAATACCGAAGGAAGTGCATAATGTGACGATTGTCCCAAAATAATTTAACGTATATACAAAAAAACCCTTCATATTCTACGTATATACAAAAAAATTGCCTTCATATTCTACGAGCGATAGTATTTACTAATGTCAGAAAACGAGCGAATTCTGCGAAATGCGCTCGAATTCTGAAGGAATATGCTAAAACATTATCGTTCGCTCACGTAGACTCGCGTAAGAATTTCTCGACTAGAGAACATGGAGGATATAAAAGTGCCGAACCTAGGACAGGCCGCATCGGCCGCATGTTCTATGGCGACCAATTTCCTGGCGCCGGTGAAGACCGAGCGGCAGATCTATGAAAATTCGATGCTCGAGGATGATCCCAATGCAAACTCAGTAGTGCCGACCTCGCAGGAAGACAGAACTGTGCCGAGATGGGGTCCGAATCACAAAGGTGCCCAAGAGCTCGCGAATCTATATAGCACCGGTACGTAGAATCTCCTTATTCCAATCATTTAAGATCGACTGCTCTCGTGTTTTATCTGTGAAAACATTTGCATAGCGATGATAAAATGCCATCTTAAAATTTATGAGTTACTAAGAATCATATACAGTGTACACATCTTGAATATTTTTGCTTTGTCACGAGAAAAAGAGAGATGATATTTATTAACGTATCTAAAAATTGATATGTGTATTTCATCGAATTTAAAAAAAGCGAATGATAGACGCGTTTTTTGTGTATTTTAACATAACGATCGTGATTTTTAAAAACTTTAAATTTTTTGTGTATTATTATTATTTTATGTTATTGCTTATATATTATTATTAAAAGTATATTTATATTACGTATTTATAACAACAAATTATATTGATAACATACTTCCAGGAAAGAGAACACAAGAGTGTATCTGTGTGGGGATCTGTATCACTCTGATAGCTGTGAACTCTGTATTCGTGCTCATCAAATTACGATTAGAAAATTTGAGTTCCATAGCAATAGCTGCATTGTGCGGTATTATCACCGCCGATTTTGGCTCCGGTTTGGTTCATTGGGCCGCTGATACCTGGGGATCCGTTGAACTTCCAATCCTGGGGAAGGTAAAGTATCGAGAATATAGAAACTAATGCTTCAGAATCGTGAATTTTAATTTATAAAGAGCTTTTTCTTTCTTTTCAGAATTTTCTACGACCATTTCGCGAGCATCACATAGATCCTACCAGTATAACGAGACACGATTTCATAGAAACTAATGGCGATAATTTTATGGTCGCGATACCAGTCCTGTCTAAGCTCACGTGGGACTTTCTAACGTTGTCGGAAGTGGAAATGCAACAACGATTCGTGTGGACGTGTTATTGGTTCCTGCTTGCCATTTTTGTAGCAATGACTAATCAGGTAAACGTCTAATTAGAGGAATATTAGAAAAATATACGGGTAAATATTTCAGTTCTAATAAAATTATCTTCTAGCTAGAGTATTAATGATGTGCTCTAATGTTATAATTAAATACAATATTTATACGATATTAGAAATTACGTTGTTTTGTATATTATGATGCACTTAAAGAATATCTACTTTACAGATACATAAATGGTCGCATACGTATTTCGGATTACCTGGCTGGGTTATATGGCTTCAAGAGCTCAGAATTATCCTGCCGAGGAAGCATCATCGCGTACACCACGTCGCGCCCCACGAGACTTACTTTTGCATCACTACGGGATGGCTGAATTGGCCTTTAGAAAAACTTCAATTTTGGTACATTTTGGAGGTGATAATCGAGTGGTCCACCGGTTACAAACCTAGAGCTGACGATTTGAAATGGGCGCAAAAACGTTCTTGAGAATTAATAATCGTCCTTCTTTCCTTACTGTATATTTTACTATATGATCGAGATATTTAACGTACGGCCAAACGTCGAAAACACAACAAAACATCGAACTAAGTAGAGATTAAGTGGAAGATTTGTATGGGCAATAGTAAAAAGAAAGCTTGTATACATGGAATCTTCAATTGTTCGAAGAGATATCGAATATGTATACATATTATACTTTTTTCTTTTCGTACTACGATACGAGGCCTTTTGTGAAGACAGATAGAGTGTGTAAGGATAAGTAGCATTATTCGATATGCTTTTAAAGTTTACACGTTTTTAATATGTACGCGCAATAATACATGTGTATATACATATATATGTATGACAAATAAGGAATGAGCATAAATTTCAGAATCACGCTTACGAAATTGCAATTTGACAAATTTGTCAACACCATGTCGATAACTTCTTTATGTATCGCACAATCATCGCGTATCAAATTTTGCACAAACTTATAAACTTTATTTTAACACGATGTACAAGAGAGCAATTTGAGAAAAGCAACCGTGATATTAAAGGTCAGATACGAGGCGTAATAATAAGCTAAAATACCTCATATTTTTTTAAAACACGATTGCATTTTCTAATGTATCGTTAAACGAATAAAAGTAAACACGAAAAATATTATGTATGATAACACATGATAGAGATATGCGTATATATATTTGTATATATATGATCTATGCATATACGTGCGTATATGTACATTATATATATATATAATCCGATTATTAGTTATATAAAAATATTTGAAAATTATCGATTTATTAATCGATTTTTTTCGTATATAAAGTATGAAGAATACTGTCAAACGTTTATAAACAAAATCTATTTTTTTTTTATTAGAACGATAATGTTTATCGATATAAGTACTCCAATATCGTCTCTTATGTAAACAAAACTGACCTCCCTGAACCTTCTAAAATATTTATGCGAAATCAATCAAAGTTCATTTGTATATATTGATTGCATATATAGATATATTGATTGAAACTAACCAAATTGTCAATTTCAAGTTTTCATAATGTATATTTATAATAGCATATTTTTTAAAGGATAAATTTTTCTAACATCTCACAAAAAGGTGACTTTATCAAAATAAAAAAAAAATATTCACTTGCTTTTATTTTGATAATTTGAATATTTCTTTATGTATTTTTTCATTCCTGTAAAATTGACAATCTGGCTTTCGATCTCACATTTTTATAAGGATATTGATTTCATTTTTAAAACTTGGGGCTAAGAACTGTACGGTGCTATGTTAGATGACTGCTGTGTGTTCTGCTTACAATTAATAACAAGACGCATGTCATAACTAATATACATAAGCCTATTATTTTTAAGTTCATCTCCTTTTTTTTCATGTTGGAGAAAAACAGAAAAGCTGAATTATGCAAGGAGTTCAGGTAAAAAAAACAGACTTATTTTGAACTCAACACACACACATAGCATGATGCATTATAAGAATTAGTGAGTAAACTTTTTATTATGGAGAAACAAAATTTTTAAATAATTATAATATATAAATAGTTAAAGTAGAGCAGGAATATAACAAAGTGCATATAAATTAATGAGAAATGAAGATTTTTAAATGAATACGTGTTATTAAGATTTTGTTACGTGCGCGAATGTTCGTACTGGCTACACTTCTTAGCTCGCAACATGTAATCAAAGGACAAAAGTCTTGAAATGCTAAACATAGGTATGTAGGTTCAGGGCCCAAAGATAAGACTTATCGCTCTATCTTGTAACGATCTTCTAAACTAATTTAATTTAAGTGAAGTACACTGATGCAGTGTACATGCGTCTAAATCGTTCAAGAATGTTTTCGCTTATCTACAAATGCTTCTTCACTTGGCATCGAAGAATCGAGTTGCCGCTGATACGTTCGACATATTTTATGTCAAACTTCACCGTAATCTATGTTCCTTACACGCAAATCAATAATAATGTCTTTTAAACGAAATAATATTTATAAGAAATCGCAGTTATTGTAATTATTGTACTCATTGTTATTGTTGTTGTTATTGTTAAGAGACAGTGTAAAGTTTAAACGAACTTCATCAGGCAAGAAACCAGTCGGATCTTAAACATCTTCAATCTCATTTATGCAGTGCGTGATATTAAATAATTATTTAATACCGCTATGAATTATTTACTCTTGCTGTGAAACATTAGATCCAAAGAGATAAATTTATTTATTTATTTATTTATTTACATATAAATTAACAAGTACGAGATGTAATATAGATTTTTTGTTTTCTCCTTGAATCCTTTCACACGCGACATTTTCATGATAAGTTGATATTATAGAACAATTTTATAAATATCTCCGAAGTCATATAAATGTTAAATTTTAATTTAAATAGAGATGAACATGCTTTGTACAATAACAAATAACGAAAAAACATTACAAAAAAAATGTGAATTCCATTAGTAAATGTGGAAAACGGAGATTTTTATTAAGCCATACAGAATGCTGCTAATCAAATTTGAAACATTTTAGCACAAACAGAAATATAGAACTATTTATGAAATGGTAATAGAAAATTGATAAGAATCTATCGGACTAGAGCAATTTACATTCCAGAAATTGGCTCAATTGTTTAATTAATAACATTGTTGTAAATAATCGACAGATATAATGTTACCATTGGATTTGAAATAACGGCGAAATTACTGCTATATGAATTTCTACAAACGACTTTGCTTGCTTGTTCCCACTGTGACATTAATAACATTAATAATATTAAGGAGTAATTCGGATTTAACACAGCTAGATCTCACCGTTCACAGCAAGCAAGAATGTACGTTTTAATTCCGTTTATTTTGCTATTTGTAAGGAGGTCTATATGAAAGATAAAAATTTTGTTTCGCTTAATCATGGCTCTCTCGTAACAATAAGAATAAAGTAATTAAAAATGCGCCGAACGAGAACTAGATATAACACAAGGAATTTGTATAGTTATAAACGACACGATTTCGGCAATTAAGATCAAATGTTACCTCCATCCGATCTTAAAATTAAATTAATTTAATTTTAAGGTCTTAAAGTTCGCAGTGGTGAAGCGTAAATTGCAAGACGTTGTGACAAAAAAAAGAGATACAAATTCACGTGTATTCTAAATATTTTATATACTTATGCTCGCGAAATATTTTATATATGTTACCACGTGCGCAATAACGTAGAAAATAATCGAAAAAAATGCCAAGAAAATGATGCTGTACTGCTACTTTCATACGATCAATGACTATGCTCCTTGATCACACATCTCGTGAATTATCTTAATCATTTTTAACGATATCCTACTCTAAGATCTGTTTTTACTCCAAAAGTGTTTTCTATCGAATGCGAAATACTTTAATCAAATCGTATTTTTGTGATATCAAAATATTTCGTTTGCTACTCACGTTTTTTCTAAACCACTTCATAACTCGAGCCTTTTCGCCTAAAATAAGTCTCAGCACAATAAGTACTAAGAGACATACGGAGCAATTGACGCATTTGCTGCTGCTGAAAGTACAAAGAGAATAAAAGACAAGCCGTTGCTTCTAAGCCTGCATACTACTATAACGTATTTTATATTTGCGTAACACTTTGCATATGTTACCTATGCGCATATCTTTTTATTATTATAGTAAGTGTATACGTACACGTGTTGGATCATCGACAATGATTAATGACGCTTTCATAATCTTAACTTTTTATTCGAATCAATGAACTGATCAATATATTTTTTTTTTGTAATCTTTTTTTCTAACAATCAACTCATCTGAAACACTAACTAGAAGAGCAATCTGACGAAACAGATATAAAATCAAAACGAGCCACAATTTTATTGCCTGAAGTACTTTTTTATGAAACTTATCATCGCTAATTGATAATTGGAGGCCATAATAGCAATGAAAAAAGAACGTGTGAATAGTTTGTCGCATAGGAAACAGGTGCATATTGAAGAATGGACTGAAGACTATACATAAATATGGAGTATAAATTTTAATATCTTCATATAATTATGTCTGGTGATTGTTCAGGAAAATTATTAGCTCAAAGTTATTTCATTTTGAAGGGAACCTCTCATTATTTTTATCATATGATTAAAATCGTTTGCGAGATTTGATAAAAAAATAATAAAAGTTACTAATAAATCTCAAAAATGGTTCCATCTGAGATGAAATTTTTATCAATCATAAAATACCTTCCTCAGAGGGGGAGAAAGCGAGGCTTCTTATAACTTACATCTTTGATTTCATAAATTTTCTTAAACAATTACTGGAACATAATTGCTGGGAGGAATTGAATTGGGAACGCTCAGTACACCTTTCCTTTAAAACGACGGTATGAATTTTTAAAAATAACTGTAAATTAGACAACATGATAACCGTCTAACTGATCTATTGGAACGCCTTGATATTGTCGAAATAATAAAGAAGGAAAATACTACCTGCGATGCAGGAGAAATCGTGTATGTTGTTACAGTGTAATAAAAAACTTTATTCTAGCTAGTTATCCGTTATTCTCTCCAATTGTGTCAGATTTATTCGTCATTCGAAGCAAAAACGAAGACTCGTAATAGGCTCAGCATCGTCGATCCTTTGTGATATCGTATATCGCAGATATAACTATATCGCAGATATACCTGTAATTTGTACAAGATGAAATCAATATTATAGTACAATATAGTATCTGTGATAATACCTTAATTTGTTAATATGATGCTGCATAGCTCATTTTTCTTCGATTTCAATTTCCTTTTGATTTCAAACTTGATTTTCTAATACCCATTTCTACCAATGTAGATTAACTTTAATTCTGCAGTTTGACTTACAATTTTTATGATCCTAGTTCAGGTTTTAAGAATTAGAAAGGGATAAAGAGTAAATTAAACCAAGATTAAAGTTAATCTACGTTATAACCCAGTTGACATCAATTAATATACATGTAATATCAATGTATAATAATTTTG